CGATGTCAAACACAAGCCATCCAAAATTTGCCCCATAAAAATCAATAGTTTTCCCATTCAAAAGAAAGTGTGTTCGGTTTGGGCCTAACAATTGCCTTGGTAATTCTAGTTCTTAAACACTCCTAAGAGCAGTAGAAGGTTGGCCAGGGAATTTAAGATTAGGACACAAACGTTTTACCTCATTGTGCTAATCTAAAGCCCTTTATTCATGAGGGTTGGATTTGGTGTCAAACAACATATTCTTTGGTTCGTGCATGCATGTATGTGTGTGTGTGTGTGTGTGTGTGTGTGTGTGTGTGTGTTAAGCAAACTCTGGTTTAGGTTATAAGAAAAAAAGCACAATTACAGAGGATTGGATTGATATTTAATCTCTTATCATGGGCATGTCTTAGTTGGTTTTTTATTACAACTGAAGAAACAGATAAGGGCTTTAACCTAAAGCAGGAAGACTTTCAATTAGTTGTGACTAATTCTGTTCAATTGCCTCTTGTGGAGGTCATGGTGCCTTATTCAGGAAACATGAATAGCTCTATTGACAACATATGGAACTGAACATTTGAATGACTGGAGGTGAACACCTTTGAATAATGCGGGGATGAGAAAAAGCCAATGAGTATCAAGCTTCCTGGGGTGAGTGTAGGTATGGTTGGGTCTTCCACCAGATCGAACTTGCTTTCAGTAGTTTCTCACTCTCCTGTGGTCTGTTGGATCCTTTTAGCGTACAGTGCATTTTTATATTTATATGTTTTGTGTGTGTGAATTTAGATGTCTTAAAAAAATAACTGTATTGCTCTTGATTAGATGCTGAGTTAAACCAAAAGGGGTTCAATACCTATTTAAACATTGTCTTTAAAAGTAGCTGACCTAATTAGGATTTTGTTTTACAGATAATTTGGTGGCACACTAAAAACAAATTACAGTTGATTTGGTTAGCACAGTCTTTAATTACATTTCCGCCAGCAGTAAATTGTCTCAATGCAAGTCCACATTCCTTAAATGTATGTGAAAATAAGTTCCACTTGTATAAATAAGCACTAGGTCTGTTGTCAGAAACCCCGCTGTGATCACTCATTGGGCAGCTCTGTCTTTCTTGCCCTTCTGGGACTTTTAGCCATTTTGGTGTTACCAAACCTTCCTAAATTCTTCATTGTAAATGTTTCTTTTGTCTGTGCCTAAAGCATGAGAAGTCTCCTCTCCTCCACCTTTTAAAAGTGCAGAAAGACATATAAATTGGGCTTTACCTTCCCTGTTGCTTGGTATTTGGAACAGCAGGCTTAAGATAGTACTACTTAAGCTTTACATAATCAGGCAAGCTTTTAAGTAGAATCTTTGTTTCAGAGTTCAAAATACAGTGTAGAAATGCATGTTACCCTCCCCCTCCCTCCCTCTCTCCCATGCTTTTCCTTGGGTAATTAAAATAGTAAAAGTTTTTCTTGGGAGAAGTTTCAGACAAACATTAATGTGTATCTTTGGCTTCATGGGTTTCACCACTTGTTGAATTTGCAAGTAAAAAAAAATCTACCTCTGTTTGTGGTGATGTGTGTGCATGCATTTTTCTTTTCCTTTTATTCGGCTATCATTTATTGCCAGCTGGGCCCACAGGGAGAAGTCGAATTGTTTGAGCTGTAAAATAGCAGTGCTGCACGTGGTGCTCCGCCTTGCATCAAGCAGCCTGTAATACTTGCATGAAAGTGGCTCTTCACACCGGAACTATTTGAAGCAGCATTGAGTCTAACTGCTGTTAAAGCTCGACTTGCGTTTACATCTAGAGTTTGTGCTTACAAAGAGTTTTGAACCTGAAGAGGAGGGCTGTCTGGAATGTGTGGTACTTAGCCAAAAGAGGGGGAAATTGATCCGTTGCCAGTGAGCCCTTGGAGCGTTATTAACTTTCTCAGTGGGATTTCAGAATGATTTACCTTATCACCGAGAGATGTTTTGAGTTCGCAACAAGGCTCAGACGAAAGTCCGAAAGGGAGTCTCTGCTGGTTGGTGTGACTTTTTCAGGGTTGGCTTGTTCTAAATCTTTGGGGCTGCACCAGGTCTAGGGTGTGGGGGTGGGGATGGGGGGGCGGGGTTGGCGGGGTGGGGGGGCAATAGTCCTTATGGTTTTCACAGCTGCTTTTCTGTATTTTCCAGACTAAAACTTGAACATAGCAGGCTGATTTATGAGTCACTTTGGATCAGTGTCTTAAAACAGCTACAGTCTGGCTTTTTGTTTTTCAGCCGCCCAGATTTCTGCTGAATTAGCAGCTCTGCAGGCCCCTGTGGGATTGATTAAGAAGCTGTGCTGGATTTGCATTTTAAAAATTGACTGGGAAATCAGATTTCCAAATGCTAAGAGGAAGAAAATGATAGCTGGAACCAATTGCCGTAAATTAATTATTTTCCCATATATTTATTCTCTTGCTAATATGCAGGAAGAGAGAGACAGAGAGAAACTTCTCTCTTCCCTACAGAGAGTTAGACTTTCAAGCATGTGGCCCACTGAGTTCTGGATTCATAGTGAACACCTCCCTACCTCTCCACCTTTCTCATTTATTAAAACCCCAAACCAAACTCACTGCTAGCAAGTCGATTCCGACTCCTGGTGACCCCATAGAGCAGAGTAGGACGGTCCCAGTGGGTTTCCAAGGCTGTAAATCTTTCCCAGGGAACAAGCAGCCTCATCTTTGTCCCTCAGTGCTGGTGTGCTCGAACTGATGACCTTGCAGTTAGCAACTCAGTGCATACTCCTTGATGCCACCAGGGCTCCTTTCTCATTTATTAACCTCCCTACCAAATAAAAACAACAACCCAAAACATATCCTGGGGAAGATGTTCATTAATGGAACTCTTAAAGAAGAAGCCTCTTCCTTCCTTATTACATGCTTGCTGTTCTTACAGGTTTAAGAAAACCTGTAAGTAACTTGACTGCCGAGTAACTTGACTGTGTTTCACAGGATAGCTGTACTAACTAGATAGGAGGATTTAAGAAAAATGTGGCATCCTTTTTAACTGGCGAGTCATCCTTTCTGAAACGTTGGTGGTATTAAATCTAAATTTAGGAACACTAAAAATTTCACAGCTAAGTATTTAACAGAAAAAGTAACTTAAAGGGGAGTTTCTGCCCCCACACCCACCCCTTTGTCTCCAACATATAACCTGCTTTAAAAGTGTACTGGCTGAGATATTTCAAGTTGCCAGCTCCTGCTTCTGGGTCAGAAGTGACTGGCTCCTGCAATGTTCTCCAAAGGCAGTTTCCCCGTATGTGAAGGTCTATTGTTGGGGATCTCATCCAATCACTGGTTGAAGGGAGAGGAGGAGGAGGAGAAAAGTTCAGCACTCCAGCATTTCTCAGAAGATCGATGTATGAAACAGTCCTTACCAATGGCGAATGTGGTTTTAGTTTTTCTAGTTAGAAAACACCTGTGTTATATATGAATGCCAGATTGGTTCCCAGTCGTAAACATGCGACCATCAGGAGGGGATGGGGGGACGGTGGGGGGGAGGCCCTGTTAGGCTGGTTATGTGTCCTTTAAGCCAGAGTTGGGACCAGAAGACCTGCTGTGGAGCCAGGCTTCCGTCCCAGGTGAAAGGCTCTGGTCCTCGGTTGTGGACTCTGTGCCTGCCTGTGGGGCTCAGAGCACACAGACTTGGTTTGAAACCTAACGTGCGTTGTTGGCCTCATGGTTGCTTCCCTCGATGAACTCCAGATGGACGCGGGCTGGGCTGTGAGGGAAAGTGTCTGGCTCCAGAGTGGGGTGCATGCAAAGCAGTGGCTGTAATTGCAGGATTTTTATAGTTTAAAGACTGTGCCAGGTTTTTTTTCCCCTCCTTCATGTTATAACTCTACCAGAACAAATCTACTCATGTCTGTTACTGTCTGGTAGGTCTTTAGGCAAACATGTTTCAAATAAACCCTTTTGCAGATTTGTATGATTTTTTTGTTTTGTTTTAGATGGAATGGAGACATCCAGGTTTGCTCTCCACCCCCAAATGTGGAGACAGACTGGATCTCCGATTTCCAATTGTTCACTAATGGACGTGCCTTCTCCACTGTGCCCAGCTCTGGATGTGACTGCACTGCCCCTCCCCTTTCTGCATATCTAACCCGTGATTCATGTCTTTCTCCAATCAGCATCGGTTATTTGGACAGTTCATCTTCATTTTTAAACAGAGACGAATGAATGTAATCAGGGTTGGTTAACCTCATTAGATGAGGAACTTTAAGCCATGCAGTTTTGTTAGCTTGGCTTCCAGTAGCTATTCGGCCATTTCATTTTCATTATGTGCCCCGTTTTGAAGGCTCATGTTCAATGTACTGACACATGTAGGGGATGTAACCAAGCAGATTGGCCCCATTTTGTTCGCCAAATTGAATCTCAAATGCTGAGATGACTGGATTCTACCTGAGAGTATTAACGTAAGTGGGAGTTTAAAAATGTAAACACCAAGAATATCCTATAAAAATTGTTACTAAAGTAAAGTGTGAAGCAGACTGCATTGAATGATGGGAAACAAAGGCAAAACAAATCCAGAACCCTCTTCCCAGGTCCTGCAGGGTTTGCTTTGTTAGGTGGTTGATGTGGTTGGAATTATTTGTTAGCAGATATTGAGAGGTAGGGAATTCATGAAAGCACAGGGCTGAAGTTGTTTTCACACACACACACACACTTTAAATATTTGGAGACTTACCCTGGAAAACAAATAAGTGTAAAAAGCAATTTCTATTTTGTTTGACCATAATAAAGACATCGATGTCTAATTTTATGATAATAAAGAGGTTTCTTCAGAGGTTTCAGTTTCAGCCACCTACCTAATTAGCTACTTTTCATAAGCCATGACTTCATCCTATCAAGTTGGGAGGGGGGAGATGGAAGGGGGTGGGGAAGGTGAAGCAAAACAGCCAGTTCACAAAAGATCTGTTCACCGTGTGCCAAAACACATCTCTTAAAACGTTAGTGGGCTTAAAGCATTTGAATCTGCCAGTCTCCCAAACTAATTTTGTTCCCAGAGTTTGTATTTTTGAGTTTGGCATTTTTGTTGCCATTTGGTTTTATGGACAGAATGGCCCAGTTACTTCTTAGGTTGTCACTAGTGTTGAGAGAGACATTTCATAGGCCCATTCTGTCTTGCATGTTGCTAAGCACTGTGAGTGCTTTTTAGAAAACTACTTGTAATTTTATTTGTGTTTTCTCCTAGGGACTTAAGCCACAACCGATTGTCTTTCATCAAAGCAAGCTCCATGAACCACCTCCCATACCTACGAGAAATGTGAGTTCCATTTACCTTCTATTTGTGGTTTGTATCAAATATATGACCTATCCCACTATTCAGCTGGAAAGGACCTGTGGATTAAAAATCAATTATTTAACACTTTGGACTTCAGCAGTCCCTTTGAATGTATTGTTTTTAAATTTATTTATTTGTTAAATTTTTAAGCTCAATGAATTGTTATAAATTACTTAATCAGCTTTTTTTTCTTCTCCTTTTCTTGGCATTTATAGGAAACTAAACAACAATGAATTGGAGAGCATTCCAAATCTGGGACCAGTCTCCACAAACATTACACTTCTCTCCTTGTAAGTGACTAGTGGCCAGATGCCACATGTTATGTCTGCTGGAAGGACCCTGGGTACCAGGCTGGCCCAGGCTGGAGTAAGAGTCTTATAAATGGAATCTGTGACCCTTGTGATACGCCCTGCAGCAGAGAACCAAGAAGCAGTCTTTACATTGCTCTGCTTGTTCTCCAGCCTCTTCCTGGACACTTGCCACGTTTCAGGTGTTGTTACAGTAGCACATGCTATCACCTGCCTTCGTTGCTGAACTGTCACTAAGGCTCAGAGCAACCGCCTTCAGTCTGTCGAGATAGCTATTGGATTATAATCTGTCTGCTGGGATTTAAATCCGAGCATTGCTCAGTGGTTGGCATGTGCTCGGTGGATTGGATGTTATGGAGCTCTTGATGGACAGTGACCACAGTCGTGTTGCCAGGGGAGGTGGGAGTTGGTAGCAAGCCACTGGGCGTTGCTCTTGAAGGTGGTGCCTGCATTGACAATCTGGGTTCAGAACACCAAGCGAGGTCTCCGTTTGTACAGTTACAGTTACAATATGGGAAGTTGCAATTGAATTCAGAAAAACTGCATGTCATGTGGCCCGGAGGAGTTTTCAAATAAAATTAAAATTGGGTGGGATTTTCCTGTATATTCAGTGCAAGATAGTGTGTATGTTGGTGCCATGGAGGTAAGTTTTGGAATGATTTTGGCTTTGGGCATTTAAAGCTAGCACTTGAAAGGCACAGGATTTAATTTCTGAAACGAAGGGGTTTACTTTACTACCTTAGTCGTGAGAAACTAAAAAACATACACATAAGCCACTGATGTTAAAAATCCTTTCCTCCTTTAAACAGCTTGGTGGGGGGTGGGGGGGTCACTGTTGGTTGCTTCTGGCAAAGGTGTTGGGAGGGTTTAGATTATATAGTACATTTCAGGAAAACTTCAATTAATTCAAGTGATCACTCCGCAATTGCTCCCCTCTGGTGATTTATAGCGGCGTGTTTTCATTGAGGGCTAGGCCAGCTAAGTCAGCGGTGCAGCGCTGTCTGCCTCCTTGTTCGGATAAGAACGGAGTGACACTTGATACTGATGTGGTTTCTCCAAAGATCAGACAGAAAAGGAATGAAAGGAAAAGCACTCGGTACGGGACAAATAAACACCGAGTTGAAAAATCATTTTTATGCTAGCATGAATGACCACTTTTCTTTCTCTTTCACAACTTGCTTACCCTTTGGGGGTCTAACTGAAATACCACTTTGGGTTTCTTCCACACCTTTCAAATGGTTCTTGTCTGGCCAGTGGGCTCTTTTTTCCATCCCGGGGAGCACTGTGCCCTGCTCGGTGCTGCTCCTCTTGCGGGGGTGTATTGGCAGATTCTATCAGCACAGTCAAGAGTTTTGAGGGTCATTGCCTGCCGCCTGGCTGTGACAGGGCCTGCCATGGAGCCTTCTAATCTGGTGTGCAGTGGGGTTGGGGTGGAGGTGGGGAGGCAGAGAACAAGCCTTCTTTTAGGCAGGATCGAGAACTGGAAGCAGTAAGCAGGGGTAGGAAAATCTTAAATTTCAGTGGAACATAAATAGCTTAGTGCTTTTACACTCAAAAACGGTACTTTCTAATGGGAGAGCTGGAATGAAATCTAGAATGTTAGAAACCTTGGAAATCTGAACTCTTCCCCCATATTGTTTTTGTTTGTGCTGAAGTCTCCCGAGTGCCATGTGTGTAAAATCAGTCTGCATCACCCCCTCTATCTTTCCCCTTAATTTGTTGCAGGGCATCCGGCCTGTGAACGCTTTGTGCATCGTATATAATGATAGCCCCGGTTTATTACCTAGATTACACACAATCTGCAGAGACTAATTTCTGCACTAGGCCTGCTCATTCAGTGTGGGTACTGAACCTTTGTCTTCCTACCGACGGCACACTTTGAAGGATTTGCCCCTCGGCCTCTTTTCCTCAGCACGTGCTTTGTTCCCCCTGCCGTAGCCTTTGGCCACTGCCATACTCGGTCCTTTGTTTCAAAAGCCCTTGTAATTTCCGTGGTGCCTTGGGAACAATGAGAACTGAAAAATCAGTCCTTCACGACATTTCTGAAATTAAGAAGGGGGGAAAAAAGTCATCAAACCACATAATGTGACTCAGATCGGAAACTTGCTGTAACACCATATCGAAATCCCATATTTTACAAAGGAGTTCTCAGGACTGCTTGGCCTCTGTGTTTCCAAGATTTTTCCCCCCTTTCTTTCTTTTTTTAACTTTCTCTAGAGGAAAGCATTCTACGGGCTCATGTTCACCAGTCCAGTACTTGGAAAACTTTTGTCAAAGAAAAGTGTGTATTCCCCCTGGTGTCTGGCCTTCAGAGTGTGACTGCTCTGTTCAGTGGGACACCCGCTTCCCCTCCTCCTGCCAACAGCTGGAGGGTCCTGCGAGGTCCAGTGGGGGCCAGATCGCCCACTGTCTTTACCCTACTGTCTGAACTGTGCACTAACATTGGGTCAAATGGCGCCCCTGTCCAGGGATAAACTCTGTTTGAAACCAGTTTTGATAATATCAGGAAACACTACTTAAAAAAGGCAGAGCCTTGGGATGAGTAAGGAGCTTTGAACTCATTTCGAACCTTTGTAGAGATGGTTTAGAAGGTAAAAGACCTCCATAGGTCCGCTCGCCTTTGAATTACATGCAGAGGGTAGCTTGCAGGTGAGCCGGCAACAGGTATGCTACGTTTCTCCGATAGGAGGGCTCCTCAGTTGTCTTTTCATTCTATTTTCCATGAACCTCTAGAAGCCTCGCCACCTACATACCTCTGGGAGGAAAACTGTTGCGCAGGCATCCCCAGTGTGTTGCTATTGCTGGGGGTGATAGTTGTAGAGAAGGAGACCCTGGTGGCACAGAGAGTAAACAAGCTGAGCTCTTCATTCAAAGGCTCCTTGGGGAAGAGGGCTGGAGACGGACTTCTGAAACATCAACTGGTGAACCTTGAAGTGCCCATGTCCGCTCTGACACGCACGAGTTGCGGTGCATTGGAATCAAAGACAATGGTTTGGTTTTTTAGGTTGGATGATTACGGCCTTCAGTGGTGTTGCACCAGCTGATCTGGCACTGGGTGGTTTTGAAACCTCTGACTTCACACCTGGTTAGGACAACTTTGGATCTCAGCGTTACAGACTGTGATCGCTGAATAAAGAAGACTTTTCCGTTGTTCAGTAGTGCGAGTTGGGTTTAAGACGCTCCGGTGGCATGGTGGTTACAATGCTTTGTTGCCAATCAGTAGGTAGGTGGTTTCAAACCACTAGCTTCTCTCTCAGGAGAAAGATGAGGCAGTGTGTTTCCACAAAGATTGCAGCTGTGGAAACGCTATGGGGCAGTTTGACTCTGTCCCCGTGAGGCTGCTGTGATGTGGAGCCAACTTCATTAGCAATGATGGGGTGTGTCATTGGGCTTTTTGGTACTGATGGATTATATAATATTGTCCAACATGTAGACACTTATCCGATGACCTAGAGTTGAAAGGTTTTATTAGGTCAGCGAGTATCAAAGTGGTCCCTAGATTAATGATTAGAAATGTTGAATCTCTGGCCCCAATCCCTAGAGATTCTAAATCAATGGGTTTAGCTAGGGTCCAGGAATAGGCATCTTAGCACACTTTTCCTGTAGATTCTGGTCTGATAATGTGTAACTATTTCCAGAATTATTGAAAGAGTTCAGCTTATCATAATGACACAAGCCTTCTTCTCTTTACTTCTTGTCCCAAGGGAAGAGTTTGCCATCCAAGTCCATCACTTTCTGCTAAGGCTTAAGTTTTTCCCAAGATGATGTTGTTACCTTTCCCGAGAGGCTTTGTCTGTATGGACCACCTTTGCTGGTGGGTACCCCAAAAGGTGCCCTACCAGTGGGAGCCCAGGGAGCAGATTGAAGGTGGAGCGGGCTAACTAGATTTGTAGGTGACAAAGCTTGCAGTGGCTTCACCACAGAGTGTCCTGACGGTGCCCAGAGGGCCGGGGTTGGTGGGGACCTGTAGTTAGAAGACAGCTCTCAGTGTCTCCTAAAGATGTCATGACATGAAGATTATCACTGTTCTCAACTGCTGCTCCCATCCTGCCAATGGAATCGTGATTAAAAACCCAGGACAATTCAGATGGCATGGTATAAAGTGCTAACTGTACCCTTGGGTAGGGCTTGTGCCTATCTATTTCTCAGCTATACAATTAAAATGAGAACTGTGCCCTACTCATTAAGTGGTTGTGAGGGGCAGGAGAGACAAGACCAGAAGAGTTTCCTGGTGTACACTGCGCGTTCAATGGACATGAGCTCTGTTGGCGATGATCATTCATTCACCCATGCAACCGAAACGCATTCAGGTCCTTCCATGTACCAGATTCCGTTTTGAGTGCTAGGGGCACAGCAGAGAACAAAACGAGTTCCTTCTTAGCAGCAAGTTTCCATTCTGCTGAGAGGACAGAAAATAAATGAGGAAACAAACTTTCAAAGAAAAGATAACTTCAGTTGGAGGCAGGGATTGTGAAGAAAAAGAGGAAGGTAAAGGACAGGGAGCCCTGAGTGGTTGCTGATCATAGAAAGGGCTCATGTACCCAATTCTCAGTGGACATGTACCAAGTTCTCCATGTCTCGCTTGGATGCACAGTCAGTGCTCATGAAAGCTGCAGTCAAGAGATGAAAGGACACATTGTACTGGGTAAATCTGTCACACAAGACCTCCTTAAAAGTGTTGAAAAGCAAGGACGAAGGTGTACTTAACCCAAGCCATGATATTTTCAATTGCCCTGTATGCCTGTGAAACGTGGATGCTGAATAAGGAGACTGAAGAAGAACTGACGCGTTTGCATTGGGGTGCTGGCAAAGATATTGAAGGTACCACGGACTGCCAAAAGGTCCACAACATCTGTCTTAGAAGAAGTACCGCCAGAATCCTTCTTCCAGCTAAGGATGGCCAGACTTGGCCTCGTGTACTCTGGACTTGTTATCAGGAGAGTGAACCGTCCCTGGAAAAGGCCGTCTTGCTTGGCGAAGTA